ATTGAGACTATTTCGAGGGTTTAAAACTGTAATCAGTTGACTGTTTCTTATACAGTCTCCACTTTTATTTCAGAAGAGTCCCTGGAAATAGACTTTTTCCAGTGTTGCGCAGTATGATCCCATTGTCTTACGTTTATGAGACACATTACTGAGTGAAACACCTAACAAACAAGCTAAAATTAATTTCTGTCTATGCTTGAAATGAGAGTTATTTTCTAAGTGAAATTTTCTAAAATAGAGTCCTAGTTAATAAAATGATTGGCAACATATGACACAAACTTTGTTATTAAGTTAAAATAATTCCATTTTAGTCTGTTTATTATAATTATCACAGTGAAATAGTATTATCTACTGGATAACGTTTCGGAGCTAAGTACTAACTCATTCATCCTAAGAAAATGGAAACGTTCGGCTGCTTTTCTTGTTACTGCAATTCAACACTGCAAGGACTAGTTATTTGTGGAAACCTCAGAAACTGTTTTCATGCATTCAGTCCGGTGAAGGAAAAGTATATCACTTTTTACGCAAACTTTAAGTATTCATTTTTGTATCAGTGGAGAAAAATATCGACACATTGTGAGATACATATCTACGGAAATGGTGACTGGTGTTAGAAGGAAAACCGATATCACGATTTCAAGAATAACATCCTGGCACTAACTCAACTGAACTAAGACACTCATCTGTTAGATAGGTTTTAATTTTACTTCAAATACTGACTTACATAAAATCAATTGTCAGTAGATATCCATTTATCATCATATCAGCTGTGCAACCAGATCCTGTCGACCGAAACACAATCGAGTTCAAGATTTCATTACAACTATATTCATAATCCCTTAAGCCAAAGAATAGTTTACTAACTAAGGCTATTATGAACAGTCCAACCAAAAATGCATATCTTTTTATTTTCTTTAAGAACGAACATTTACTAATGACGAATAAAGAGCTCAAAGTATTCCTTTTTACTAGAGTTCTGAAATCAGTCAGTGATAATGTAAATGCTCAGTTAACAGTGAAACTCCACTCTCCATTGGTCAGAGCTTGCATGAAGTATTCTAGCAGAGAAACTTTCGAAACATGATGAAACAGTAAACAGTCTTGTCCTCATCAGCCTTGCGCTGTTTGATGACATTAGATGTCAAGATATGATGAACAGGACAGGTGATATAAATATGGACAACAAATTATGTTCGAAACGTTATCCAGTAAAACAATACTGTAAAACTGTATGACAACTCTAATAAACAGAATGTAAGTGGAATTGGAAACTACTATAGTGCCCAAGTTTTGTTTCTGTTACAATGAAACTTGATCAAGTTTTGTGAAAACCGTATAGTATATTCTGAAGTTTATGTTAAATTCACCCTTTTTAAATAATCGACCTCAGGTTTTGATTTGAACAGATTTGGAATATTCTTTTTATGGCAGCTACGCTAATAATGCATAACCTTAAATCTTAGCTTTCAGATGAAAATAATTTTCAAATACCAGTAAGCTTTTTACCATAAACGTTGAAATATTTATTCATTAATTTTTTCGATCACAACTTGCTGTGAAACTGACTACTAATCAGGTTCACCCTACTTTCATTATAAGGTCTGTTGTTTGACTTCTGCAGAAGTTATCTTTTGGATGAATCTTAAAGTTGTTGAATAGGTTATATATCACTTTGACCTGAAGTATGAATTTAAGTATTTTGCTTTTGAGAAAAATGCATTTCTCATATCCGTTTAGTGTACTACAATGAAGTGAGCGAGAAATATGCTTTCCTGAAAAAAGTCAGTTTTTTGAACTCAAAAAGAGTTTAAAGGAACTAAGAATATTCTTTTCAATCACTTCTTCAGGTTCTACAGTTTTGTGTCCATTTTGTACACTTGTGAGATCTCTCGTTATACCTTGTTAATAATAATATTATGCTGAGAATTGTTATCACAAATATCTTGTGTGAACAGTAATGTCAGAAACAATTATGGTTGCAGTTCAACTCAGAAGAACCATTTATATAAACAATCACACGGATTATGTAAAAGTGAAATGTGAAAATGAATCATGTTAACTGAGATGATGAAAGTTATACGAGAGAAGTTTATCATAAGTAGAAGGGGAAATGGAAAGTGGTGAAGTCTGAATGTAAAGTCAGATAAACGAAAACAGTAGGTTGCAATGCATGAAAGTAGGATGTAATAAACAAAGATAGATAGTTAGTAAAGTGTTACCTATGTCACGGAATAAGATAGGTTAAGGGAATTTAATAAAATAACTTCAGATTATAAGGAATTAGGCGATACCTAAATGGGGTAGGTGGTCGATTATTTTGATTCAGCCAACGACAGAGCTACATAATCTATAACACCAAAGAAAATGGCTGATAGTTTCATGAATAAATATCTAGCGTATGATTCAGATTCAGTTTTTCCAATGACTCTGGTTCATAAAAGATTTCCACTGACAAACAAACTTCTGTCGGCATATGATATGACGGGTGACCACAATTTACAGTTATCAAGCAGAATCATTTCAGGATAGAACATTATTACTGAGTTCACTCATTTCAAAGATATTTTTAGCTATAAACTCATAAGCTTATGAGTATATGACGCTGCCTACACTTTTTTTCTATCTTCGAAATTTTACGATATTTGTCAAATCCATCTCATCTGTGGAAAAGCTACTTTTGCCAAAGATAAGAAGGAAACGCTAAACCTTCCTATAAATCTTATAAAACTACAACATTGAATTCAGAGACGAAACCTTCAGAAAGTTAACGAAGTATGTAGAGCTCTAGCTAGATGGGTTACTATTGACCTTCACTAAAAGAACTAAAGTTTCTGTAGAATAAATCGTGCTAGAGGTTGAGGTTGTGTTTAATTTCCACACCTTTCAAATTCCAAGACAAAGCATACAAACAAACAGAAACAGTAGCGATAGGAACTCCAATATCCCCGATCGTAGCAGACATATTTATAGACAGTTGGGAACAAATAACATTAAGAACATTACAACCAACCCAGAAGGCATGGTGGCAATATGCAAATGACACATTTACTGTGTTGAAATCAGAAAACGCCAAGAGATTGTTCGTACACGTGGACTCGATAGCAGATACAATCCAATTCACTAATGAATTAGAAAATAAAGAGGGAGATTTACCTATGTTCCATTGCGAAATGGAGAGGAAAGAAAATGGAAGCTTACATACCAGCGTTTATAGGAAACCAGCTCATTCGAATAGATACTTAAATTTCACATCATGAATCCCTATTTGTCTTTAGGCAGGCGTGATAAAATGTTTAAGTAATCGGGTTAGGTATTTGATAGACAAGTCAGAAAGCCTAAACAGAGAAATGAAATACATCAAAGAGACATTACTTCTTAGTAACTACCCTGTGGAATTTATTAAAATGTTTGTAAGGACTGAAAACAGGAGTTTTAGTGTTAATGGTGACTGCAACATGCCTAAGAGAGAATTCAAATCTTCTTTGGTACTGCCAGGTAAAGAAGTCATATAGGAAATTTTATGCAGAATTCCTAACAATCTTGGTATTAGGGTGATACTTAAAGTCACAAACTTGCTCACAGAGAAAATTTGTAGACTAAAAGATACCATAGAGGTAATTATGAAAAATAACTTCATCTATCAAATACACTACAATGATTGTGAGGTCAAGTATACAGATCAGCTCAGCTTATCTGGGTAAGTCAGAGTAGCAGGACACAAAAACTTATCGAAACATCAAGGTAAGTAATTTAGAAGAAAACTCAGCTATTGCTGTCCATGCACTGACACACCATAGTGACACATAGTCACTACGGGGAGGGACAGGGTAACAATTCTAAAATCCATAATAGCTAGGTAGAAGGAGAGATTGATCATGGAGTCTTTGTTCATTGAATTCACACCTAATACATGTAACAGGAATGACTCATCGGATAGTGTAGATATCTGGAAAATTTTACTACTTTCAAGATAGCTGAATGAAGAACTGCTGGACTATATAATGGAAGGTTTAAAGTAGTACGATTACACTGATAGGAATATGAACAATGAATTCTGCTTGAAACATCATCCAGTAAATAGTACTCCATCAGTTATTGTTACTATGTCAGGTGGAACTCCTCGGCCTCCGTTTTGCAGATCAGGTCTTGTGTGGATCCCTCGAGGATGTTGTAATCATCTTGGTGATTGGGATTCAGGCACATCCGGCTAAGGAGTTGCGAGTGGGAGGAAACGCACGTCCTGAATTCTACTACGAGTCAGCAAGACGAATAAAATACTGCATCACTGTTTGATATATCAATCAAACAGACAACCTAATATAGAAGTATCAACCTTCTGTTGTCTCAGATTTTTGCTGTTACACAAAGTAACCCAAAATCCCATTTATTTGGTTTCTTATACTTGTCGAAAATCAGCAACTATTTCATTCACTAGTAGGCAACAGACTATTTCTCACTAAATTGTCTTCTAATTTTCGTTATTCCCGTGGATTATTTATTCCTATCCCTTGAATACAGGAAGTTGATATTTGCTTTCGTTGAATAATTTTACTTTGGACTACATCATATCTCATAGTAAGTCAACTTTTTAGCATTCTCACTAAACCCAAGGTTACTTTTATTATTCCGTCATTATCAAATTTAATGATACATTGAACTCTGTTCAACAGGTTGAAACAAAGACAACATTTTTTATTAACAGAATACTGTTTCTATTTACATTACACCAGGCAGATAAACATTAAGCAGACATTTTTTTAAAAGCACAAAGAACGTAAATGAATTGTATGATTTTACGATCTTTCATCAGCTGTATACATTCACGCTCAAATAATGCGTGTAAAATGTCGAGGATGTGGAGATAGTTCAGTGTGTTACTTGTTAATAATTATTTCCTATTAAATTCTGTTTCTTACTGAAATGAAATCAGTATTCAGGTGAAGAGTTATACATGAATAACATGCCATGCTTAAATTTGTTTGGAAAAGGCTTCCTTTTTTTTATACAAAACTAGATTCTCGTAAAGCAGCTGACATATACTTTCCAGAGTCATTCACCTTTTTCTGTTTTCCTATCTGTGAACTGTGAATTACACTGACAATATTACTACTATTGACACTGTTATTAGTATGTGGTACAGTAACTGTTGTCTTATCAGTAATGTTTGTTGTGGTAGTATTACTGTTTAAGGTAGCAGTAGAAATAGTAGGGGCGATAGTAATAAAGTTATTAATGTTATTATGACTTTGAAAGTTTTGATCTGATACTTTTACTAAGTTTTTCGGTAAATTAGTGATGTTATCAGTTGTCCATTTTTTCGTTTCATTCCATGACTTTGAAAGATGTGTCACTCCAATATCACTACCGAGATTGTTGTTATTATTAGATTCGTTAATACTTTCAGTTGTCTGAGATATGGTTTTTGTATCATTCCAGGTAGTTGAAGATTCTATTAAACAATCATCTTCGTTAATATCATTATTTGGCAGGTAGGTTTCAATAGTAGTAAAATTATTATTGGTAGATAGTTGCTGAGATTTTGATTTACTCATAGTAGTTTTATTACTTTCGAAATCAGGTTGTCTAATATCATAATATGTATTTGATTGTGTTGGATGCTTAGCAACTCTGTTATTATAACTCCAGCTGTTTAAATTGATAATACTTGTAGCCATTAACTGATAAGGTAATAAGATATTACCAATTTTATCATTACTGCTATTATTATTTTGAGTAGTTACAATGTTAGGATACTGATTATAGTCTGAAACAAACGCCGAATTAATTTCGTTTACTGTTTGACTACAATTTGAAAATGTTGGTAGTGTTGTGTATCTACTATTCATTGATTGTGGCTGTGATAGTGAGTGGAAATGAGCTATCTGATATGATGTATTTTCTGGATTGGGACTGTAGTGAATTGATGAAAGTGATTGTCTCGTTCCACCTCTTCCTGGATCGTAATGATGCTGCTGATGATAACTGAATTTACTTCGTCCATTGGATGTATTTGACAAAAGTATAGGCATGTTTAGAACGCGTGGACTATATGTTACTAAACCAAGATTTTTATGGTATACTGGTTGTTTGTTTATCATCATTGGGCTAACTAAACCCAAGTAATCGAGTGTTTGATAATCATCTAAAATCATCAAAGAAAATTAAGTAGAAACATGTGTAAGTAGCTTTGTTAGTAAATTCATTGCAAAGTCTAACAAAATATGTGCACTTCACAATTTGTTTACCTTCGAAGAAACCTGTTAGAAAGGTGATTTTGCAGTACTTCGGTTGGGTTCAGAAATGGTTCGAAAGGGTAAAATATATTACCTATTCCGTATAGCCCTTTAAATAGCCTAAGGTTTAACATCTAAACTTTTAGTCATATCTTACTTAACTGGATCTGAAAACCATTCAAAGAGCTACTGAAATTGCCTGTGTTATGAAAAATCTACCACTTTAGTTGGAATAAAGAAAGTTAACTGGTTATTTCAAAGGTTGTTAAGATGCCCGCTAATCCCACATTGATTATTTCATTTAGGCAGGTGTTCTGCATATGAATGAACAGTTGTTTTGAGTGAATCCTTTCTGTAAGACAAGTAGATTTTTCATAAACAGAAATAACTTATAGGTTTTGTAAGTAGTTGATGGGACAGATTTTGCAGTCATGTGTTATTTTGTCGAGGTTTGTGAATGTAAACTTCAATCTTGACACAAATGGAATATATTTTTAAAATCTCAGCGAGGTATATATATAATTGCAACAGCTTACAACTGATGGATGTTAAAAAATTAACATTTTTTGTTCTCTAAATCGAATTGAACAACCTATTATAGTGTCATTTCGAACATTCATACTATAATTTTATCATTGCTTATATTGAGTTTTTTAGGCTGATGTCTGAATACTGGATTCCATTAAACTGTATTATTTTAGGCTAGTAACAACTAGATAACTTATCAAAAGGAAAAAGAATGATGTTACCAGTACCAGTGTGCAAGTACGATAAACAGACTGTGAACTCTGTCCATGACAATGAATATCAAGTCATATTTAGTTAAAAAAAGGTAGTTATCCTAACTTTTCAACCTAATGAATTATATTCTGGTTATAGAAGTGATGTTAAATTAACAGAACAATAAAAGTATCAATATTTATATAGTTACAAATAAAAGCAGCTGAAAATTTTCATATATAACGTGGTTCAAAGTAGTAAATTTAATTTTAAGCAACTTACCAAACTTATTCAGGGACATAGTATGTTCATTCAATTTTGAAAAACTGTCGGTCCATTAAAAACGTCATGATTATTTTGCGCCTTTGATGTTTTCTTGATAAAGAACCGAATATATTAAAAAGAATCTGTGTTAAACAATAAGTGATATATTTTATTAACAAAAAGGATTTTAAAGTATGTCCGATCATTGTTAAAACAGGTAGATAAATGTTAACAAAATAATACTCTATTCTGGTCTGCTTATTACACGGTGAAACATTATTATTCAATGGATTACGTTGCTGACCTGATTTATTGTCCAGAATCATATCGGATAACTCCACAACTTTGAGACAAGGTTTATATAGTTCAAATTCTCACTCTTTCTTTGTGAGATGAATAATTCATTATTCCCATTGTGACATCAAAACCAAGATATTCAGCGAAGAGGACTCTTTTCAACGAATTTATTCTCAAGCTATACATTTATATATATATATATATATATATATAAAGACTGTGAGGAAGATTCAACTGAAATACTGGGGGTTGAAACAATGATAATGGTGGTGATAATTATAACGTTGCTAGTTGATGACGTATAGGTCGAATGATAACAAAAAGGGGTTACGTAAGATTTTCAAATCGTTTATAAGGTGTATATAGATTAAAAAAGGGTGAGAACATTAATAAACAATCAAAGGGTTGGGGTAAGTTGAAAATGTTTTGTTAAAAGTTGCAATTATTAGGAAGATCAAGTGAAATAACACCGGAAACAAATAAATACAAAAAGTAGTGATAATGGCGATATAAGAGTACAAAGATTAATCTGACAAAAAAGTAGAAGGGGATGAAAAACGAAAAAAGAGGATGAAACGCACCAAGACTAAAATAAATTAAGGCCAGGGTAGAGACAAAGACTTTATGCACTTCTTTTGCGCACAAACGTCAGGCTTCAGTTCATGGATAGCCAAGGCCTCTGCTATTTTTAGAAGCTAAACACGGAAGAAACATGAGGCGTTAGGACGAATTCCATAGATAAATTTGAAATCCTTGTTTGGGTCGGCTGAATGGTCGGAATCGATTAAATGCTCAAAAAAGAACTTCTGATGCATTTCCTTTGACCCTTATAAAACCAAGCCGGAACATATTCTCATATACGTGTTGACAACAATCTCTGACTACGGCCGATGTATTCTGCTCCGCAGGAACAAGTGAACTAGTAGATACATATCTGAAATTTTCTGCATTGACTTAACTGTTAGTAACTCGCTTATAGATATTCAATCAAACCTATTTCAAAGTCTCAAGGATGGTCAACTAACTAAGGATTTAAGACTTCAATAACCGTAGTTTTCACATTATATTTAAAAATTGTTGTTTCAGAAAATAACCGTTCATAGAAGTTTTCACTTATTAAAGCACATCTACTAGAAACATTCTTCACAAATACCTTGTAAACTCAGTTATTCAATGAAAAAAATATACTAATTAACCACAGTTTTAAATTTAAAACATGTAAATATTTTAATTGTTGTGATTCTTTAATAACTAATTTCTATTTCTTTTGTAAAATAACATCTTCATTTTAACTAAATGAATATTTTCTTGTTGGAAATCCTTTTAATTAGTTTTAGCATTCTTTTTTAATTGCACAAATTTATTGTCTATTAGGCTTTACACAAATATCAGACAAAAAATATCACCCGCGTTAAACAACATATAAAGTACATATTCATTGGGATATTCAATATACACCATTCATTGTTCAATGCTTAAATGTCATGAAATTAGTATGAAATATAGATATTCTTGAAAAAGATAAACCGAATGATAGTAGTAAAAGGATTTATTAACAAAATGTAGACTAGAATTTTATGTCTTATATTATAGAGAAAAAATTCACTTGTTAAGCACAACATAAATTTTGTCAAAGGAAACATGAGCAATATTATATTCTATGTTGAACTGATTTTGTAGCTGATAAGGATCTAATACAAAAAATAGTGAAACTAAGGAATATGTTCGAAAAACATGAAAATTTCATTCTAACGAAACAGCTAACATGATCAGATTTTTTTTATAGGTGATGCAAAGGAAATAAGAGGTAAAAATGTTTAAGCAATAATTTGATTTATTTGGAAAGCTTCTTTTAAATTTATATAGTTATCAATAAACTAAAAGTTCTATGTGGATTGAAAATTAGTAACAATGATCTGCTTAGTAACTAATATTGTTTCACTGTGTAATACATGTAATTGAATAAGTGATTTAGAATTATACTGTACTATAAAGCTCGAATTCTACGCTAATGTTACTTATTAACTTCACAGTTCGAGATATCTTTTCAACAAATTTATTCGCAAGCTGTACACTCATATATATATATATATATATGTAGCTATTGAATTCGCCTAAACATCTCGTGTTTTCTATGTCGTCAGCTTCTAAAAACAACAGAAACCCTGACTATGTATGAACTAAACCCTGACCTTTGTGTACAAAAGAAGTGCTTAAAGCCTTTGTCACTACCGTGGCCTTAATTTGGTGTTAGTTTGTTTCCTTTCTGGTTTGTTTTTTCAACTTCCTCGTTTGTTAGATGGGTCTTTGTACTTTTATATGGTCATTATTACTTTTATCTCCGGTGTTACTTTATTTAATCTTGCTAATAACTACAACTTTTAACAAGGCGAATTCATTTTATCCGAATTAACTTGTCTCATTGATATTACCTAGTTCTTTGACCGTTTATTAAATTCTGTCACATTTCCACCCTTTTGTAATCTTTATGCACCTTGTAAAAGGTTTTAGAAAATCTTACACAATCCGTTTTATTTATCATTCAACCTTTACATCATCAACTAGCAACATTGTCATAATTATGACCATTATTACTATTATTTCAATCTCCCACTATATAGGTTTTGTTTTCCTCATGGGTCAGTCGAATGGCTGCATTCGATTAGATGTTCAATGATAGAACTTCTGATGCATTTCCGTTCACCCTTATGTAACCAAGATAGAATACGTTCTCATATACTTGTTGGTAGCAAACTCTGACTGATGCACCTTGCCCCAGGATCTGGCGAATTAGTAGATACACATGAAGGTATCCTGTCAAGGGATATTCATTTATCCATACGGAGAGCAATTTGTGACTGGCAGAGGCCAAATGGCGTTTGAATCCTACGAAGGTCCTGCAAACTGATCTCCAAGGACGATCTTTCAACTTATTTGAAACTACATCACCTTTAAATTATTGATTCATGAAGACTACCCGAAGAAACTGAGTTGATGGCTGGTTTTCCGTGCTTTTCTGGCATATTCCTATCAACAAGTTGGCTACGATAGCAGTTTGCTACAAGCGTCTCTCTTGGAAAGTCAAGTTCAACTTGTACAGTCTGTGCTACAAATATTGTGTATTCGATAGCAGAGTGAGTAAATGAGGTTTCTCTTCCTCATGACAGGCACTCAAGAACAGAATTTAGTAAGTTGTCCATTATATATGGACTGTCCATAGATACACCTTTTCACCGTTCCATTAGTACTTCTCATAATTAGCATGCCAAGAAAAGGAATAGATGATTCTATTCCTGTTTCTATAGCGAATTCCGAAGCTGAGTGACAACTGTAGAACTCATGTAAGATGTCATTCAAATTGATATTTGAGTCACAAATAACGAATATATCATCCATATATCTTTTGTAGATGACAAAATGATAAACAATCTGGATAAGATGAGAATTTTTCACTTCTGAACTACGTGTATCGTATATATATATATCTTTCCAATTTATTGTGAAAGTCATGAAGGTAAAACACTACCAAGTTATTTCCTCAGTAACAGGAGATTGTAATATGCATATACTTCAAGGTGGAATAAAACCAGTAGTCTTTCTTGAAGCTCTGTTGAATAAAATGGAAGTCAAAACCTTGAGTCATATCCACCTTACACTATATTTGCTGAAGTTCCAAATTAATTTAGTAACCCAGACGTTTCTAAATGAAACTCTGACGTCATTAAAGCTGTATTTCTGATTATTTAGATGTACACAGTAAAAGTTGCCCGTTCAGTTTCCTCTACGATTCAAACTTTATTCGTAAAAGAATCTACTTTCATGCATGCCGACAATGTCAACAGCGTATTTTTGTAAATTGAAGCATTGAATTACAGATACAGAAAAAGGCTAAATCGTGAGCAACCACTGAATTTTAATAAGTATATCTATAAGACCGAAACACGAAAGTATGAAACAACCAACAATAACCCACACATTTTCACTTTTTAAAGATGGAACAAATGTGTTACTCCCAGATGATTTAAAAATTTAGGAACTTTAATTCGAATTTACGATTTGTTTTATTACTATGGTTTTCTTTTTGTCTTAGGCATGGAATAAAAGAGTAAAATTAAATGCCAGTAAATTTTAAAAATATTTTTTTTAACTTTACAATTGATCCTGTGCAGTAAAAAGACTATTATTTTCATTGCTGTTGTAAATTTTTTCCCATGCGAACTCAACTTATGCGCAAATTTAGATTCGTCAATATATTTTGACGAATAGTGAACTGGAGCATGTAAGTATTCATAGGAATTTGTTGCGTTATAGGATGCTGTCATATAACTTATCCCTTTTTAGAAAGTCAAATTATAGTTACTCAAACATTCAGATTGCAAATGACGATTATCCATCGTCTGAATAAAATAAAGTGACTGTTAACTGACTCATTGAATTCAACTAAATTCCAGGTCATTCTCAACTATCAAAGTATACCTCCATATTCATATCTCTTAATCACTAATCAATGTCTGAAAATTACATTGGCCTGCCAAAAAAAGAAAAATGATTAGACAGTTAGTACGCTAAAATATCAAGTAGCTACACATCTCCCGATCCCGGATTAGGCAGGCCTGAATACTCGACAACTGAAATAGATTTTTGTAAGGATTCAGACTTTACTGAAAATCTGGTAGGAATTCGAACACCATTCAAATATTATTACTTTTCTAATCTATTTATCAATCTCACAACTGTTTTTGTTGAATTTTCTTACTATTTCCTAAAGTCTTTTCAATCTATATGTAAACTCTATATAGTTCAGTAGAACCACT